ACCTGGTTATCTGAGCCAGGAAATCCTAAAGAAGAAAGGACAAGACTGTCTGTCTTCAGAATTGTCCAAGTGAATGTGTTTGCAAAAGCTGAGTTTTCTGCTCTTTTGTTATCAGGCATAGGGGCACGGACCAAATATCTTGCAGAATCTGCATATTATGGCAGGTATTGTACTGCTTGAAGTTTACTGTTTACATTGTGTTTAAAATCGAGGGCTTCCTCCTTGAAGGTTGGAAGTCTTCAGTTATGACACTACTGCATTTTTTAAGATTCGCAATACCTTCACTTACAGGTATTTCGACTTTTTGAAGTTCTCTTGGCTTTTGTGACTCTGGCAACTAAATAATAAAGCCAGACAGTTGCCAAAAGTGCAGTAGTCTTTGTGCTATCATTCAAAAGTTACCACAGGGTTTGGACCTACTTTATGTTACAAAAGTTTTGATGTGGAAGATGAAGTATTTGTTGGCGTTTCAAGGATAGCATTTCAGCAAAGCTAGCTGGCAGCCTCCAATAAAAGCTATCTCCCAGCTGGGTCAAACTAGTAAGGCGACTTGTAGGAGGAAAAATTAAGTTTATAACGTGAATTTTTGTTTTGCTATGGTTTGTAGTAGACTCTTTTCCAGGACTTATGCCAGAGATACTGTGAACAACTTTCTTAATTGCTTATGTTGGGGCAAATGTCAGCAGCAGTGCGGCCTAGTACAAAAAACAAATGGCAGGGTATGCAAAAGGTTAAAGTGAGTTTTCCTTCCTGGTGTTTGTTTAGCTTTGTTCCCTAACTGTATTTATAGCAGAAGTAGTCTCGCATGTCCTAGATTAAAGCCACGGCAGTCTGGGCTATTTCGGTGGCTTGTGTGTCCATTGTGCTGGGGTGGAGGGATCGGGTATGCCTCTGACCTCTGCAGCTCCACTTCAGCAAAGTACCTAAGCACGTGTTTAACTTGTAGCCCACTGGGATTTCGGGTCTGCTAGCTCACCTGCCCAGGCAGCATGTTGGGCAGGTTTGCTTTTCCAGACTCTACTGGAAATACTCCTCTGGGGACCAGTTCTGGCTTATAAAAGTTTGAGGGTGGGATCAAATTGCATTGTTACGACATGAATCTCTGCTAAGCTCAGAGCAGCATCTGCGGAGGGATAGTCTGTGCATGCACACTACGTCCAGTGAGTCATGGGCATTTGAGGTATTCTGCCTGTAGGCAAATGATTACATGCCCAGGACTTCTGGATTGTCAGACATCCAGAAATCTTGGGCAAATGGTCAGACTCCTCTTTTTCTATACCAGCAAATTCTTGGGGAGAAAAAATACAGTGGATAGACATGTGGTTTATTGCTGAGTTTCAGCTTCCTTTTAGTGATAGAAGGCCTGTGTCTTCTATGCGAGCTTCCCTGAAATGCCATGTGGGATTTCTGAGGTGCTCTATGGGATGCCCCTTCAGTGGCATGGACCTGCAGGCAGAGCAGGCCATGGGCTGACCAACAGTAGGAACTGGATCATCACATTGGTGGTTTGATTCTTTGATGCCACTTCATGCCTGGTGATGAACACCTCCAAGCCTTGTTGTGGTCAGCAAACGGCCCCAGTCTTCCTGCTGGTCCGGCAATGGTGGTGTCTGAATTCAAAGAACATGCAGTGAAATGAAATTCTCTTTTGCAGATTGAATTGCAGACTTCAGGCTCTGGATCCAGCTCACACTATTGGTGTTTCATTGCTCCTTATGGTGTAGCTGGTGATTGTTCCTGAGAAGAGAGAAGATGATGAGTGATGCAAGTGACATGCTCGCTGCGGCGCTGGAGCAGATGGATGGCATTATAGCAGGTAAACGCCTGGGGCAGCTTGTTCGTTTAACTGTTTCCATTCTCCTTTCTCATACCTGGAGGGCAGAGTTTCAGGCTGAGAAGGGAATGTGCTGGTAATTGTGTTTGGTGTCTTCCCTTATAGCTTAGTGGTTACAAATAAATGGAGTGGAGGGATTGCAGACTCTCACAGACAGGGCACGGCTAAATGGATTGTAGTTTTTCTCCTACTCTCTATCAAAATGCTGCTCAAAGTGGCTGAGTGATACAGTTCATCTGGTGCACACAGCACCATGAAAGCCAAGGACAAGGCACGTTTCAAACCAAGATGAGTGTGTTTAAAGAGCTGCTGCAAGGCAGGAAGAGGAAGTTTGCCTAGTACTGGCTACTCTGAACTTCTCTCAACTCTGAAGAGTTAAAACATGAATTGAATTTTTCTTTTTTCAAAATTGGAATGTTTTGGGTCCAAACATGTGGCTTGGACCTGCCTTTAACATTTGAGTTTTTATAAGTACCTGTAAATTGTAAGTGGACTAAGGAGAGACATCACAAAGTATGCAACCTCTGCTTTTAAGTTGAGTCTGGTGAGTTAGAAAATAATGTAAGTGCACAACATGGAGGAGCAAAGCAGCAAGAAATTAATAGTTTAATCCTATTCCAGCAGAGCTATGCAAACAGCTGCCCAAACTGAAAAAATACTCTGCAAGGATAGCAACACAGTTATAAAGTCTTTAATAGTTCCACTTAAAATAATTTCCCTTAGGGAAAAAAATAATCATACAGTGCGTGCTTTGTTTGAACAATGACTTTTCTCTGCAGTTTTCCTAAAGATATTAAGGACACATAGCTGGAACATGTGGATTCAGTTGGATCATAATGATCTCTAAAAATACATATAAACTGTGACTTTAGTAATTTCCATAAGTAGATACTGGTATTTGGATCCAATCATGTATCTGTGTTTCCAAGAGCCTAAGTTGGTTATGGCAGGATGAGGTTTAATATAAAAATAAAATGTGATGTTGGGAAGTTTAAGTCACCACAGACTTAATTTACCCATGTGTCTGAACAGACTTACAAAGTAATACAACAAAGGGATATCAACTCCTATGCTGTTGTGGGGATTTTTGCTCTTCATTTTTTTCAAAGGGAATTAGCAGAATACTTGCATTTTTGTGGCTTACCAGATGAGGTGAATGAAAGTTCGTGGAAGTGCATAGATGGCATATCACTGTAGTTTTCAAAAGTTGACAGTACAAAGGCTGATGCTCTGTCATGAACATGTCTCATTGTGCCAAGGCATTACAGTATTAAGGTCACAAATCAGTGTGCTGAAATTATAGTTGGAATTAGCTAGGTTGACTTAAATCAACCTTAATCCTGAATTCGTAGTTTCCTTCCTTACTTAATGTATAGCAACTTTTAATGTAGGTCGAATATACGTACTGTGAGTTTATGCAGATAAGAGATTTTTCTCTTTCTTAGCATGCAAATAGTGCTACAATGTCAAACTGTTGGGTTTAAAATTTTTTCTCATGTAGAAGTGATTCACTCTTTATCTTCATATTTTTCTTTATTCTTCTAAAAAAAATTCCAGTGCCTTGGAGCAGCGTAACATATTTCTGCATGGAAAAGAAAATGCAGAGCACGGTTTCCTCTGGAAACCATCGGTGTCTGACGTGGGTCATGCAATCCCTACAGGGTGACTCAAAGCGTTGGCAGAGCCTGTTCCCCCTGCAGTACTTTCCACCTCTGATACATCCCAGGGAGCAGGAGCCCAGCCTGCGCCTTGGACCTGTGGGCACGGTTGTGGCGTACGTGTCCTCTGCCGGATCAGCCCACCTCCTTCCTGCTGGAGCTTCCATCCACATAGCGTGCCGGCAAGGGCTTGCCCTTCTCCAAATTGCCATGTGGCGCGTGGGGCAAGAATGGTGGGCAGAATCCAGCACCAGCGCTGAGTTTGGTTCAGATAAATGCCCACCAGGAGCAAACGCTGCCTAGCATTTCTCAGCCTTGCTGCAGGTCTGACCTGCTTGCCTCGTGCTTGACCCTGTGCGATATTGCTCCCTCCAGGTTCGAAGGCACTGGAGTACTCCAACGGCATCTTTGACTGCCAGTCCCCCACCTCTCCCTTCATGGGGGGCCTGCGGGCGCTGCACCTGGTGGAGGACTTGCGGGGCTTGCTGGACATGATGGAAGCGGATGAGAGAGAGGGGCTGCGCTGCCAGGTTCCGGACTCGACAGCAGAGGCTCTGATCGAATGGCTCCAAAGTCAAATGGTACAGTCTCGCCTTGTTTCACTCGTAACGCGCTCGTTTTGTTTGTTAGCTAGACCAGCTTAGGCAGTGGGGCTGTGTTTTATGCAGGGCATTTAAAAGTTTTAGAGTAGGTTTCAAAGAACCAAAGCGAAGAGATTTTGGTTTGGAGGTGATGCTGTGGGGCCTCAAAAGCTGTAGCACAAATACCTTGTGCAGTGGGTTGGCCTGTGCTTTTTGTTGATATACCACTGTGCCTCATTTTGGGAAGCAAAAAATGTTCACTAATTGGAGTTTCATCTCAGAGGTTTGGGGAAAGACATTTTTAAAGGAATCAGACACTTAAATGGGGGGAGGGGGGGAAGCTGTTTTCAGTATGAACTTTTCACTAAAAAGCATTTTTGGCAGCATATTTTCTACAGGGACCAATGTTGTTACTGAGCTTCCTTACCTGGTTTGTAACGGAAGTGAGTGGTGTAAGCTCAGCATCCCTTTAACCTGGGAACAAAACCAAATTTTTATTTTCTGTGTTTGTGACAATCCACCAGTTTTTGTCACCCTCGCTTTAAAAATATGCCAAAATATACCTGACAAGGCTGTTCTTTCCCCAAGACTTGCTTTTCCCAAAAAATCAATTATTATTCAAGGGAAGGCTACACTGGGAAATAAAATGTTGTGCTTATCAGAAGGTGAGTTACATGGCATAGTTTTCAAAGGACCCACTGGTTTTACTTCCAGGTGGCCTGTGACTAGTGACTTCCTAGCAGGGCCAAGTAGGAGTCCTTGTGCTCGTGGACTGTGGGAGGCTTTGCGTTGTGGTGGTCTGGGTGTGCACAGGTTTCTGGGAAGTTCCAGCAGTGGAAGTCAAGAATTATTTCCAGAGGCCGTGCTTCAGGGTTTAAGTCAGCCTGTAGCTGTAACAATGACAGCAGCGGTAGGTGTGCACTTCTGCAGATTTTGCCAAATCTGTACTGCAGCAGTGTCTGGGTCCTCCCGTCTGACACACTTGGCGTTGGCCAAGGTAACGCCATACTGCTGAAATGGGGATGCCAGATCTGATGAAGGCTGGGTCTGATGCAGGACAGGCCACCGTGGTGGCTCTGTGTTGTACCCTGTGCAGTGCTGCTGTTTGGGACGGGCAGCCACCATCGCCTGGTCCCTTCCCAGGACGAGCATCACAGCCTCTCAGAAAGGGTTCAGTCACCCTGGAGCCACGGCTGATCTTGTGTAAAACGTTTTTATCTTGATACAGGGGTTTATTTCAGCGCGCAGTTGCAGCCAAGGGTGGTGGGTGCAGGACTGTGTTTGGCCTGCGCTCCCCAGCCATGGGTTTGGCAGGCGTGGAGCTGCGGCTGGCGCTGGGTGACGTGACGTGCCATCTAGTGGCACACGGGCAGTGCGCAGCACAGCGGGAAGAGACGGGGACCTGGGCTAGCACGGCTGGGCTCGCTTGCGTAGCTCTTCCAGAAAGGTTTGAGGGGAGAGCTTTTTTTTTTTTCTCCTTCTTTGCTTTGAACTACGCGTTTGAAAACGCCTGAAGCTTAATGAAGCACGTGGGAGCTTTCCCACTGCCTCCAGTGGGATTTGGATCTCGCCCCCGCTGTCAAAGCGTGGCAGCCAACGCTGAGATCAGGAGGAGGAGATGGGAGTGACATTCGAGTCAGGTCTTTAAAACACGCAGAATTCCTGCTAACATCAGCGTTTCCTTCCTGTGTAATGTACAGCAGTGAACATCACTGTAACTAGTCTCTGCTCTGTGTGGAGCAGAAATAAAGGGACATAACAGGTTTCATGCAAGTATGGCTTTTATAAATAAAAAAATGTTCATGTGCCAAATAAACAGCCATGGAAAACTAACTGCTCCCCATGGTGTGCATAGACATCAGTAGTCCACGCTTAGTGATGCTGATCCACCGCATGTTATTCTGGAGTAAAGGGGCCCAGCAGTGTGGCTGGAGGCTGCAGTGCCTGTTGAGATTAATGAGGTGAAGACCAGTCGTTGCCCCTTGTGGTGGCAAATGTGTGATTTAGGGATGCCTGGCTGTTAGGATCTGGAACGAGGTCCTTCAGACCCGCGTGATGGGGATCACCACATGGCAATGAGACAGTAATGGTTTTCATTGCAGCCATGGGCTGAATCTGGGAGAGGAAGGGCTCTGTTGTGCCATTCAGCTTAGTGCCTCCTGGGCACTGGAAAAGATGTGCAGGGGTTGTGTATACAAAAGATTGCAGAAAATAGCTATTCTATCTCTGCTTCTCCTCATTCTGCCTCAAATTATTCCCCTGTACTCTGGCATCCTTAAAGCCCCTAGTAGGAAAGACTGAACATTACACTTCGTATTGTGCTACAAGCATGGGATTTGCAGGTGTCACCAGTGTCGCCGGTCCCTGTCTGAGCAGGAAGGTGTTACGTTGAAGTGCCCGTATGATTTGCAGGAAGGCTTTCTGCAACTATTGCCCATCCTTACCGAAGAAGGGAAGACACCTCCTTGGTTTGAAATCGGTTTAGTCCTCCATGCGTGAAGAAGTTGCATCCACCGGGCTATTCCAAGCTGCTGGAGCTGGTGTGTGACATCCCATCCAAAGCTGTAAGCAAGTCTCTCGTGTCTCAGAGGAAAACAAAAATAGTGTTTGCTGCTGCCAAACAGTGTGTCACAAGAGAAAAATCCTCTCCTGGCCCCTGCAGGGAAACCACTGATGCCCTAGTTGGGAAAAGGGTCTGACAGCAGTCTTCCAAAGTTGCTCGCTTCTGTAAAATGGGGCAGAGCATTCAGTTTTGCCATGCCAGAATTGGCTGAGCCATGTCCCTGTACCACTTCTTAGTGACCGCTTCCTTTCTGCTCCTCTCAGTGTGTTCATCTGTGCAAGCTCTCAAAAAGGGCCAACGAGTTAAAACGCCTCATGCTGATTTTTTTTAATGAGTGGATGCCAGATGGCCACATAACACCAGAGCACACGTACAGTGCCCGGACATCTGGCAGAGCTCTTCCAAGAGAATCCATCGTGTGGTCCCCACGGGGAGTTCAGAGAAGTTGTACATGCAGCTTTCTGCTGCACAAATAAGCCAGTTTAACTATAATGTGTTATTTCTAGTTGTCCGTCTACAGCGCAAAACTGATCTCTGTGTTGCTGAAACCCTGCTCATATCTCCATGTGCAAATGGAGGGCAAGTGAATGTCATGGTTAAAATTACAAATGAGGCCGTTTGTTCTAAGTCTGGAAAGGGACTGAGGCTTTTTCTAAGCTCAGACGTATTGGGACTGTGTGCTTTCACTGGGGACCAGACCTGAAATCCATAGCCAGATCATAACTATTGCAAAGTTTTGGAGTTTTTTCAGATTTCTCCTGATCAATGGAAATGTTTAATGTATTCTGATGTGTGCTTTAATAAAACATGTGCTGTACTCCGTGAAAACGGAGCTTCTGACTTGAATATAGACAGCATGTGAGTAAGCTGTAACGTCATCGCCAGTAACAAGACCATTTTAAATGAAACTCTGCCTTTTGCAAGACCAAGGCAGCCCTGTTGTGTCCAGCTGGAAGTTGATGGATCCATGTCTTGAAGAATAATTCTCAGAAACCTTGCTCCCAGTCATGAATGTTGCTCCAGTTTTTCTTCAGTTGAAACAAATAAGAGACAGTTTTCTTTTGGTTATTATTTTTCTTGACAGTGTTTTTTTGGTGTTTTTTTAAAAATACATCTTACGCAACAACCTTCCCAGAAAGAAGAAACCAACTGTGTCTTGTTAAAAAGGAGGGTGAAGGGTAGAAGTGGGTGGACAGTCCCTTCCCACACCTCACAGCCAGCTTACCCAAGCTCCTGATCTGAACTTGTGTATGTGGGTCCTGTTGTGTGCCTTCTTCTCTTTAAAGGGTGTGCTCCTGCAACAAAAGAGCCAGAATAATACTTTTTCTTTAAAATCCACAGCATGTGCAACTGTGATTTTAGCTTTGGAAGTGACTTTCTGAATTTTAATATATATATTATAAATTTTTTTTTTCCACTCCAGAAGTGAATTTCTGAAGTTGACTGTAAGATCATTAAAGCAAAACAAACATTATGGCCCCCAAAGGTTTCTTGAAGAACATTTTCAGCTCATCTGAAGATGATAGTTAATTTGAGCTGTGGTATCCGTAGTGGATTGTGCAATCCAGAGTGTTGCTGCTGTGAATAGCGGACAAATAAGCCAGTTTAACTATAATGTGTTATTTCTAGTTGTCCGTCTACAGCGCAAAACTGATCTCTGTGTTGCTGAAACCCTGCTCATATCTCCATGTGCAAATGGAGGGCAAGTGAATGTCATGGTTAAAATTACAAATGAGGCCATTTGTTCTAAGTCTGGAAAGGGACTGAGGCTTTTTCTAAGCTCAGACGTATTGGGACTGTGTGCTTTCACTGGGGACCAGACCTGAAATCCATAGCCAGATCATAACTATTGCAAAGTTTTGGAGTTTTTTCAGATTTCTCCTGATCAATGGAAATGTTTAATGTATTCTGATGTGTGCTTTAATAAAACATGTGCTGTACTCCGTGAAAACGGAGCTTCTGACTTGAATATAGACAGCATGTGAGTAAGCTGTAACGTCATCGCCAGTAACAAGACCATTTTAAATGAAACTCTGCCTTTTGCAAGACCAAGGCAGCCCTGTTGTGTCCAGCTGGAAGTTGATGGATCCATGTCTTGAAGAATAATTCTCAGAAACCTTGCTCCCAGTCATGAATGTTGCTCCAGTTTTTCTTCAGTTGAAACAAATAAGAGACAGTTTTCTTTTGGTTATTATTTTTCTTGACAGTGTTTTTTTGGTGTTTTTTTAAAAATACATCTTACGCAACAACCTTCCCAGAAAGAAGAAACCAACTGTGTCTTGTTAAAAAGGAGGGTGAAGGGTAGAAGTGGGTGGACAGTCCCTTCCCACACCTCACAGCCAGCTTACCCAAGCTCCTGATCTGAACTTGTGTATGTGGGTCCTGTTGTGTGCCTTCTTCTCTTTAAAGGGTGTGCTCCTGCAACAAAAGAGCCAGA